CCACAGTAGTGCGAGCACGCGCCTCAACTCCCGCCACTGTAGTGCGAGCACGTGCCTCAGCTCCCGCCCCTGTAGTGCGAGCACGCGCCTCAACTCCTGCCACTGTAGTGCTAGCACGTGCCTCAACTCCCGCCACTGTAGTGCGAGCACGCGCCTCAACTCCCGCCACAGTAGTGCGAGCACGCGCCTCAGCTCCCGCCACTGTAGTGCGAGCACGCGCCTCAACTCCCGCCCCTGTAGTGCGAGCACGCGCCTCAGCTCCTGCCACCGCCACCGCGTCGCCCAGACTGTGACAGACAGGCCCTTCCTCGCTTGAGCTGCTTCAGTCACGTGTGGAGGACCATGCTAACTGTTTTTTGGTCACTGTAATGTTTGCTGTTCTCTCCTCCCTGTGCACTAACCCGGGTGGGGGGGGGGGACTTTCTTGAAGCGGCATATTTTAGTAGGGTCTTTGAGGCAAAAGTTCTGGGTGTGGGGGGCTGTATGGTAGAAAGTACAGAAGGAGGGAACTTGTAAAGGGGATTGGATTGCAGGAGTCTGGGAATACAGTTCACCTGATAGATTGCTTACCTAGCATGGCCAAGGACCTGTGTTCGGTTCAGGAGAACACACAGGCACGCACACGCACGCGCGCGCACACACACACAGAGTGAGAGAGAGTGAGAGAGAGTGAGAGCGAGAGAGAGAGAGAGAGAGAGAGAGAGAGCGCTTAGAGTAGAATTTGGTTGGTCTAGGTCATCTAGAAAACCATTGCAGGAAGTCCAGTGGATAAGAATGATGAAATCAAAGGATTAAAAATGATGAATGGACTGGGCTTGGTGGTGTACACCTTTAATCCCAGCATGAATACCAGGCAGATCTCTGCGAGTATTAGGATAGCCTGGTCTACGTAGTGAGTTCCTGGCTAGCCTGGGCTACACAGTGATACTTTGTCTTAAGAAGAGGGGGAGGGGAAGGTTGAGTGAGGGACAGAAAAGGAGACAAAAAAGGAAGGAGGGAGAGAGAGAGAATGATTGATTGGTGTTATTTTGATTTGGGTCTTGAAAGGAAAGGGGGCAGCCAGGGCTCTTTGGGTGCTGCATAAAGGAAACTCCCCAAAACCAGTCCTTTAGACCCCACACAGTTAAGTACTTAGTGGTATTGTTAGAGGGCTAAGCAGGTAGTTGGTGTGCCATCAGGCAAGTTTAGTATGGCAGGACCCCTCTGAAAGCCAAGTTGATAAAGAGAAAATGGAAGGAACAGAATGCATTCCTGCGGAGTGGCCAGGACTGGCAGCCCAGGCCCCAAATACATGTCTTTTCCTTTTTGAAAAGAAACAGTGTTTACATTTGTCTATAATCTTATACAGGTACTAGACTTTTTCCATGATACCTGCTAAATTAAAAAAGATCCCTGATGGAGGAAGGTCATTGGTTAAATAAAAAGAAACTGCTTGGCTCTCATTGGTTAGAAGATAGGTGGGAGGAGTAAACAGAACAGAACGCTGGGAGGAAGAGGAAGTGAGCACAGATGCGTCAGAGAGACGCCATGCCCCGCTCCCGGGCAGACACACGCCATGAAGCTCCGACCCAGGATGGACTAGACTAGGATCTTCCCGGTAAGACCGGTTCTCACAGATTATTAGAGATGGGTTGATCGGGATATCAGAATTAGCCAGTAAGGGCTAGAGCTAAAGGGCCAAGCAGTGTTTAAAAGAATACAGTTTCCGTGTAATTATTTTGGGTAAAGCTAGCCATGGGGGCGGCCGGGTGCCGGGGATGCAGCCCCGCCGCTCATATTACTACAGATCCCCGTTTAACCATGTAGTTTCTAGTAAACAGGCTTTTTTTCTTTCTCTTTTATTTTATCTATTTTTTTGGGGGGGGGGATTCGAGACAGGGTCTGTCTGTGTAACAGCCCTAGCTGTCCTGGAACTCGCTCTTGTAGACCAGACTGGCCTCGAACTCACAGAGATCTGCCTGCCTCTGCCTCCCGAGTGCTGGGATTAAAGGCGTGCACCACCAGTTTCAGCTTTTAAAATATTTGGCGTTAATGCTGCAGTTCTCATGGAGTTTCCTGTAACCCTAACTGATCGATGTTTTTAACTTTCAAAACCTTTCATTTATCGTCATCATCATCATCGTTGCTGTTGTTACTATTGTTGTTGTTGCTTATGTTAGATCAGAGGACAGTTGTGGAGTTGATTCTCCCCTTTAACATCTATGTGGGTCCCGGGGGTTGACTTCAGTCTTCAGGGTTTGCAAGGCCGGGCCGTCACTGTCACCCTCAGCTGCCGAGTCATCTGACTGCCCCAGGAAGTGCTAAATTTCAGAAGAAACTGTTCTGGGCTTTGAGATTCAGATCTTTAGGAAGTGTTATTTTGAAGCTCTTGACGTTTGACTGGAGCCTTTAGTTTCTCAGTATGTGGGAGACGCTCTCCTAAAGGAAAGTAAGCAGCCATTTGGGGTCAGATCCCCTGAATCATTCCTCCTGGTGTGTGTGACCGCTGCCTTTATTCCATCAGCCCAAATGAATCATGGCTAGACCTACTGTCAGCGGAGATGAAGATGTGTCATCCTGACGAATGTCCCGGAAACCATGGCGACAGGTGGAGCTCATCATCCTCTCATAGGAAGGGAGCAATGTCTGGGTTTGTGGTAAGATCTGCCACAGCACCGCTCATACTGGAGATTAAAGAGATTGGAGTTTCACCTTGTGAGTCTGAGCCTTTGTCTACATGCACGTATGCACGCTGCGTGTGTGCCTGGCATCCGAGGATCCTCTGGGGCTGGCGTTCCAGGTGGTTGTGTGAGTAGCCCTGTTGGAACTGGGTTCTCTGCAAGAGCACCAAGTGCTGTCTGTTAACCATTGAGCCAGGTCTCTAGCCCCAAGCACCTTTGTAAGACATGGGCATGATTCAGAGAACTGTAGTAAATGCTCGTTAAGACCGTGAAACTTAAGCTCAGTAAGCAGTACCTGTGAAGGACCCCGGGCTTTATACCATTCCTCACACAGAACCATTCATTCTCTTGTGACTGAGTTGAATCCTCTCATGGATCTATCCATTGCATTCCTCTCCCCCCTTCCCCTTCCACTCCCTCCCTTTCTCCCCTCCTCCCTCCTTCTATTCTTCCCTCCCTCCTTCCCTCCCTCTCTTCTTCCCTCCTTTTCCCTCTCTCCTTCCCTGCCTTCCTCTCTCTCTCTTTCACTTCCTCTCTCCCTCCCTCCCCCCTCTTTTTTGTCATCTTGTCTTACACAGGGTCTCTTCAGGATATATGCTTAGGGTGGGATTCTTAAGTCGTGGGGCTGTAGGGTGTGTGCGCTGTTTCTGTTTTGGTAGATCATACCATGCTGTCTTCCACTGCTACCACCATTTCCACTTTGGCTGGTAGTGTGTGCGTGTTCTCTCTGTTTACACACTAGTTCACATTCATGCGTGGTCTCCAGGGTAGATCAGATTATCGAGTGTCTTAGAGCATCTCACACTTGATTGTGTATGCCAATCACCAGGGATATTAGCAAAAGTGCAGTTTCTGATTTATATCCCTCCCCCACTCCCTCAGCAGGGTTTCACTACCTATCTCCCGGCTGTCCTGGAGCTTACTCTGTAGACCAGCCTGGCCTCAAATTCAAGGAGATCTGCTGCCTTTGCCTCCAGAGTGCTGGGATTAGAGATGTGCGCCACCACATGGGGCTTCTCTCTACTTGAAGTCATCTGTATCTGTGCCTGGTTGTGCAGGCTCATGATCCCAGCCACTCTGGAGAATGAGGCAGGAGGATTACAAATTCAAGGTCTGCCCAGGCAACTGCGACTCTGCCTCAAAATGAAAAAGTAAAACCATGTGGGATGGAATCTCAGAGGGCGAGTGCTTACACAGCATGTACGAAGCCCTATGCTCAGCCCGCAGTGCCACAGAAACAAAAGCATTCAAATTGCCTGTAGTAGCTGAAATAGCATAAATGGCATACAGCCTAGTCACTGTTCTGTTGCTGTGAAGGACACCATGACCAAGGCAGCTCTATAAGAAAAGCATTTAATGGCGGGCTTGCTCACATTCCAGAGGGTTAGTCTGTTATTATCAGGGCAGGGCAGCATGGCAGCCCTCAGGCAGGCGTGGTGCTGGAGCAGCTGATCAGGCAAAGAGACACACTGGCCTGACATGGGCCTTTGAAATCTCAAAATTCATCCCACCAGTGACACACCTCCTCCAACAAGGCCAGTCCTACCCGCTGACAGCTCATCAGCTGGGGACTCAGCATCTAGATCTAGGCGCCTATACGGGCATTCTCATTCAGACAACCAGCGCATATATACTTTCTATGTCTTTTATATTGTTACGTTTAAGTGGCTAAGAGAATTTATTTATTTTGGTGCCGAAACTCGGAGACAAGCACAGTTTAATTCTGAGTCCTTGCCATAGCGATGGGAGCCATGGCTTCTCTTCTCTGGTTTGGATAGAAAGAGGTCTCGCTGTAACCTAGACTGCTGTCTGTCTTTGGTAATCCTCTGCTGTGGCCTGGCCTCCTTCATGCTGCGACCGCGGGACTGTACCGCTGTGTCCCACAGATGCCATCACTTCATTCCTTCACTGTATCTATTCACTGTAGAACTTCAGAGGCCGCCGAAGACCTCACACGGGCTTCCGTTACACGGAGCATAAAAAATAAAAACGCTTTTATCCAAGATAGCTTGCAAAATGTTTCTACATCTTGCTTGTTTTGTTTTTGATGCAGGATCTCACCTTGTAGTCCTGGCACACTTGGAACTCACTGTGTAGACCAGGCTGGCTTTAACCTCACAGAGACCGCCCTGCCTCTGCCTCCTGAGTGCTGTGGTTAAAGGTGTGCACCACCACATCTGGATTCTGCACTGTATTTTTATTTAAAAAAACAAAAAAAAAAACGCTTGTATGTCACAAAACCGATCTGTGTCCAACTCAGAGTATGGCTCCTGTGAGTGTATGAAAATCAGTATACGTGTAGTTAATCTAAGTTTTTAAATTTTATTTTTTTCATTGCAGATTGAATCCCTCTCTAGAACTTCTGAATGTTTCTTACCAGTGGGAGCGTTCCCTGTACAGCAAAGCCAATGGCTTAACTTCGGGGAGCGCTGGGACACCGTAGGCTCTGCTATGCTTGGTGGAACTTGAGTTTGGAGGACACAGGGCTTTCTGTGATGACAACATGACTCACAGCAAAGGAAGATCTGTCACCTGCAAGACAAGTGGCAGCCCCGACAGTGGAGGAGGTTTTGTCAATTGGACTTTAAATCTAAACACCATTCAGTCTGACAAGTTTTTGAACTTACTTCTAAGCATGGTGCCGGTCATCTACCAGAAGAACCAGGACGACAGGCATAAGAAAGCGAACGGCCTTTGGCAGGACGGGCTGTCGGGCGGAGCACAGACCTTCAGCAAGAGGTCAGAGCCACATCTGGACTACCACGAGTTCTCGGAGCAGGCCTTCCACGGCGGCGGCGGTGGGCATGCGCCAGCCAGCTGCAGCCCCAAGTACGACGACTACGCCAGCTATAGCTACTGCGACGGAAGGGAGGCTTCGGAAACCACCGCCATGCTGCAGGACGAAGATCTGTCCAGTGAGGGCGATGATGTTATTGTGGAAACAAACCGGAAGCTCCCGAAGGAGTCCAGCGGCGTCATGGCTCTGCAGATTCTCGTGCCGTTCTTGCTGGCCGGGTTTGGAACAGTTTCTGCCGGCATGGTTTTGGACATAGTACAGGTGAGTTTTCATCTTCAGTTCCTCACACTGTGTGTGTGCCCGCGCTCGTGTGTGCCAGAGGCCAACCGTGGGTGTCTTCCTGTGGCGGGGTCTCTCAGTTCTCTCTGGAACTGATGGACTCAGCTGGCAGCCAGTGACGCTCTAGGGGTCCTGCCTCCCTCTGCCTCCTCATCATTGGGGTCATGTGCGTGCCACCGTGCTTGGCTCTCCGGGTTTTTAATTGATTGATTGATTCGTTACTTTGAAACAGGAATTTCCACATCACCTTGGCTCTTCTGGAATTCACTGTGTGGACCAGGCTGGCCTTGAACTCACAGAGATCCAGCTGCCTTTGACTCTGCCTCCCAAGTGCTGGGGTTAAAGGCTTGTGACATCATGTTCTTTTTTTAAAACATAGGTTCTGAGTGTTGAATCTGGGTCCTTATGCTTACTCACCCAAACCCTTCCTCTCCTCCCTTCTCCCCTCCCCTTCTTTCTCTTTTCCTTTCCTCCTCCATTTTCCCCTCTTTCAATAGAGTTTCACTCTACACCTTTGAGCTTGCAGTCTTTCCTGCCTTAGAGCCTCACCCGAGTGCTGGGATCACAGGTGTGCACACATCTGGCTTGACTTCACGTTTTCTCATTCAGATGCTTTGCATAGGATAACATCTTTGCAGTGCTGAGAGTGGACCATCACGTGTGGCAGGAGCCTGAGCTGTATCCCCAGCGGTCAAGCATTATCTTAGATTTGACGTATTCCTTGCAAATAAAGTAACTCTTTTACAAACCCCAAAATAAGCCAAGTAAAAGAAAAGCCCAGTCAGCAAGCAGTCTTTTGAAATAGTTTATTTTAAAAGAAAATTTCCATGTGCTCATTGAAATGTGTTCAAACAAGGTAGCACTAAAATAAGGACTAACTTCTGTTCCTCATCTCCACACCCACTGCTGCTCCTCTTTGTCATCACCCTCCCTCCTTCACCTCCTCCTCCTCTTCCACCTCTGCCCCTGCCTCCATTTGTGTGTGGTTCTGGAGATGGTGCCCACGGCCTCCTGTATGTCAGGCAGGTTCTCAGTCCCCCAGCTTACGTCCCCAGTCTGTTCCCAGTGCCCAAAACATTTTTTTTTTTTTGCGTTTGTATTATTGTATTTAAGACAGGGAAGCAAAGCCAGGCAGGGTGGTGCACGCCCTAATCCCTGTACTCAGGAGCCCAGCCTGGTCTACTTACTGAGTTTTAGGCCAACCAGGGCACAGGGTGAGACCCTGTCTCAGTGACAGAAAAGGAGAAGCAACGTTAGAAGCAGAAGCCCGGGGTCTTTAGAGATGTCCTCATTCTAAAGAGCGGCTGTTCCTCTTGTCCCCAGCACTGGGAGGTGTTCAGGAACGTGACAGAAGTGTTCATTCTAGTCCCTGCGCTGCTCGGCCTCAAAGGGAACCTGGAAATGACGTTGGCATCCCGACTATCCACCGCAGTAAGTTTTCCCCTGCGTCCCAGAGTGTGTGCCGCCTAGTCCTCCCTTAGGAGAGTCTGTGTGACAGGCGGGTTGCTTTCCTCCATCTGGTGAGTTTCTGGACCTCGGAGTTGTGGGAAATAGTTTTGACTGACACGGTGCCCTGAAAATTCTTGGGGTTCTCTCATGTGGGAATGCAGACCTGCCTTCCCTTATCAGCAAATGCTTGCCTCCGTCGGTGCCAGACCACACTGGCCGTGTTTATCAGTGTGTGATGCATTGTATGTGGGTGTGGTTGGTAGAGTCGAAATTAGAATCCTGTGTATGCTCTTCTCCAATCTGACCCATTAAAATATATACTGCTGACCTTTTCGTATCAGTTGATCAACATTAGATACTTTATTGGCTCTATTATTTTTAAAGATAGGTTCTCAGATTTGCTATGTAGACCAGGTTGGCCCTGAACTCACAAGAGATCCTCCTAGCTCTGCCTCCTAAGTGCTGGAATTAAAGGCGTGTGCCAACACACAGGGCTACATCTTTTTATAGTATATAACCCCACAATTTGATTTATCATCCACCGTTGAATCTATAAACATAGGGACCAGGGGAATGGCTAAGACGTTGAGAGCACTTCCTTGGGGGGACTAGGTTTCCGTTTCTACCGTAACTCCAGTTCCAGGAGATCCGATGCCCTCTTCTGGCCTCCAGGCACCAACCATGTGGTTTGCATACATGAGGCAAACACTTGAAAATAAAAAAGTATTTTTTTTTTTTTTTTTTAGATAAGTGTCACTCTGTAGCCCTGGCTGGCCTGGGATTCTTTATGTAGCCCAAACTGGTCTTAAGCTCAGAGATCTTCCTGCCTCTGGCTCCCAAGAGCTGGGATTGAAGATATGCACCAGCATTCCCGGCATGACAGTTAATATAAGTGAATGAGAGTGGACAGTCATCTGAAGTCAGAAGAAAGGTAGAGCAGACCAAGGTGTTAAACTGCTTTATCTAGTGGTCCACTTAAAGCTCAGCTGAGACTACCTGTTTGCCAAGCATGGCTTCACTTGGTACCTGAAGCGGGACGACCTGGACAAATCCCCGAAACAAGGGGTCATTGCTCTTAGCAACCTGCTGACCGCCATTGTGTTCTTCTGTAAAATCTCACTTGCTTGCCCGCCCCGCCTTGTGGTTTTAGTGTGTAAAATTGGGGGCCGGAGAGATGGCTCAGCTGTTAAAGGCTAGCTAGGCTCACAACCGAAAATACAAGAGATTACAGACTGGACCTGGGACCGGAGCCTTTCAGGAACTGTTCTGGCTTATTCCAGAGATTCCCCGTAGCAGATCATTTCAGCTACCAACGGGGGAGGGGAGAATTAGTGCAGGTCATGTGGTGAAGGCTGACTTGGGAGGGCGGCTTCAGATCACATCTGTGGAGATCACTGATCCCTACACGGAGCTCATCCTCCTGAGCAGGCGCTGTGTAAACTGGAAGCTAAACAAGGGCAGTGAGTCACACCAGGATCTGAGAGGAGGAGACCATTCTGCAAATGTCATTTAATCAGATCGATAATGGTTCCTTTTATTAAAAAATTTATGTATATGAATATTTTGCTTGACTGTACACGTGTGTGCCTAGTGCCCCCAGAGGTCTGAAGAGGGCCTCAGATTCCTTGGAACTGCCGTTGTAAATGATTGTGAGCAGCCGCATGGGTGCTGGGAATTTAACTGCTTTCTCTGCAAGCGCAGCAAGTGCTCCCAGTTGCTGAGACATCAGTCCCAATATCAGCTCTCCACACGACGCTGAGACATCCCTCCAGTCCCAATATCAGCTCTCCACACGACGCTGAGACATCCCTCCAGCCCCAATATCAGCTCTCCACACGACGCTGAGACATCCCTCCAGCCCCAATATCAGCTCTCCACACGACGCTGAGACATCCCTCCAGTCCCAATATCAGCTCTCCACACGACGCTGAGACATCCCTCCAGTCCCAATATCAGCTCTCCACACGACGCTGAGACATCCCTCCAGTCCCAATATCAGCTCTCCACACGACGCTGAGACATCCCTCCAGTCCCAATGCTCCCAGTTGCTGAGACATCCCTCCAGTCCCAATATCAGCTCTCCACACGACGCTGAGACATCCCTCCAGTCCCAATATCAGCTCTCCACACGACGCTGAGACATCCCTCCAGTCCCAATATCAGCTCTCCACACGACGCTGAGACATCCCTCCAGCCCCAATATCAGCTCTCCACACGACGCTGAGACATCCCTCCAGTCCCAATATCAGCTCTCCATATGACGCTGAGACATCCCTCCAGCCCCAATATCAGCTCTCCACACGACGCTGAGACATCCCTCCAGTCCCAATATCAGCTCTCCACACGACGCTGAGACATCCCTCCAGTCCCAATATCAGCTCTCCATACGACGCATTCTAATTAGGGATTTGCTGTTGTTTTGATTAGTTTTTCAGACAGGGTCTCTACTGCCTGACTGTCCTAGAACTCACTATGTAGAACTCGGAGAGATCGGCCTGCTTCTGGCCCCCGATTGCTGGGAGCAAAGGCTCTTGTCACCACCGCCTGGCAATTATTTTTCTCTTAAGATCTGAAAGTTCAACCTAACATTTAGAATTCATGATTTTCCTCTGGCGAGGCCACACCTCCTAATCTTCTAACCTTTTCAAATAGTGCCATTCCCTGGTGACTACGCATTCAAATATGAGTCTAAAAGCAAGACAAAAGAAACAAACAAACAGCAACAACAAAACCCCAGAGAGGTAGAGCTAGGCGTGGGGGTGGGTGGCTGCAAGCACTTAGGAGGCTGAAGCAGAAAGGACACGGATTTAAAGGTAGCCGGTGGCACATGACAAGTTCTAGTCCAGCTTGGGTGGCATCATCGGATCCTGTCTCGTGGTAACCAACCAGTCATGGTGGCACATGCCTTTAATACCAGCCCTTGGGCGACAGCTGCAGGTGGATTTTATGAGTTCAAAGCTAGCCTGGTCTACATAGATGTTCCAGGACAGCCATAGTGAGACCCTATCTCAAAAAAAGGAAGAAAAGAAGGAAAACCAGCCAACCTCTCCACACACCTCCTCACCACAATGATGATAGAAAACCAATATGTAAGAGGAACTGTACATTTATGTAAAAGGATTACTTGGACAGAAGGTCCTTAATCTTGTACTCTGTAAAACAGTGCTGGCATCGTAGAACTTGCTAATAGCCAGTCGCTGTTTGCAGAGATAGCAGTTATTTTTCTGGAAACTTCTGGAATAAAAAGTGTGCTTGGAAGAGGAGGAAAGAAGTGTGCTTCTTTCACGGTGTGAGATGATTAAAATCTGTTATTCCAGTTTTGAAAAGATTCTGACCTGGTACTGATACATGAGTATGAATTCATGCTTTTCCTTCCTCTTCTTTTACTCTGTGTTTGTATTTTCAAACCCAAGGTTTAAGGATCCGTTCTTTTCTCAAGTCATGATATGATATAATAAATACATTTAAAACTCTTAAGGTCAAAAAAAAAAATAAGTTACAGGGGCTGGGAAGATAGCCCAGCGGACAGAGTGGCTGCCTTGCAAGTGTGGGGATCTGTTGTGGTCCAGAACCTGATGCTTACAAAAGCCAGAGGTGGCGCTACATGGTTGTCATCCCAGTATTGGGGAGGCAGAGACAGGTGCAGGCCTGTGAGACAGCTGGGCTGGAAAACTAAGGGGAGGACCCCTGGGGTGCCCTCTGCACGAGCTTGTATGCACAATACAGATGTGCACCCGCACACACAAAAATCATGCATACACCGCACAACACTATTTTTAAAAACAATCGAATAATGAAATTCTGATAAATGGTTAAATTTTAAATTTACTACTTATTCATTACTCCAGTACCTTATTATTTAATCGTGACCTTGACTGACATGCTGAATTTCGGTGCAGCTGCTGGGTCACCTGGCACCCAGCTGGAATGTGTGTTTGTTGTATCCCCAGCCTTTGCTTTTAAGAAGGAAAAGCAAAAAGCATATGTGGGTTGTTTTCATTTTTAACTGTGGTTTTGAGGAAGACCATGAGGATTGCCTAGACCTGAGTCCAGGAGGCGTCTTCCAGGAGAAACTGAGGGAGAGGTCTTGGAAGCGTTGGAGGAGGAAGACTGTGTTACTGGAAGGGAGCAGAGAGGCGGCTCCTGTTTCACTTGAGCAAAGCGGACTTTGTTCTGATAAATACGGCTACGACCACAGGCATTGAAGCAACTTGGTCCCTTTGCCAGGAGTGACGTTTTGGTTCAGTTACCTCAGAGAAATTGATCGAGAAGTATTTGTTGTTCTTGAGCCTTGTCCAGCATTGTTTAGACTCATAATGGATTAGCTGTGCTGTTCTGTTTTAAATAGGCCCTGCTGTAGGGAATCCAGTTAAAAAAAGAATATATTTTAAATAAGATTTTCTGTCTTTAATCCACATGTTAATATTGTCTCATAAAGGTGAATCTAGTAGTCTCTTTGCGGGGTGGGTATCAAGGCAGTGTGCTGGCTAGTTTTATGTCGATTTGACATAAGCTAGAGTTATCTGAAAGAAGGGAACCTCTGTATGTGTGTGTGAGTGTCTGTGTGGAGGCGTGCCGTGTGTATGAGGCATGAGTATGTATTTGTATGTGTGTCTTTGTGGAGGCGTGCCGTGTGTATGTGGCATGTGTGTGTATGTGTCTGTGTGGAGGCATGCTGAGTGTATGTGGGTGTCCTTGGAAGCCAGAAGAGTGTGTCTTATTTGCCTGATGTGCGTGCTGGGAACTGAACTCTGATCTTCTATATCATGTGCTCCTAACTGCTGAGCCATCATCTCTCAGCCCAAGATGGGTGTTCCTTGTCTCTCTCTTTCTTTCCTTCTTTCTTTTTTTTCTTTTCTTTTTGAAACAGGTTTTCTCTGTGTAGGACTGGCTGTCCTGCAATTCTCTCTGTAAACCAATCAATCCTTGAACTCAGAGATCTGCCTTGGCCTCCCAAGTGCTAGGATTAAAGGCACGTGCCACCGCCACAGCCAGGCTAAAGTGGGTGTTTCTTAAAATAGGGTCTTTTAATGTCAGCACCAGCAGCCTGTTAGAAACATAAATTTTGGACCATTCCACAACCACTGAACCAATATAAACTAGTAATTTGTTTTAAAATAGACACTCTAGGGGGCTGGAGAGATGGCTCAGAGTTTAAGAGCACTGATTGTTCTTCCAGAGGTCCTGAGTTCAATTCCCAGCAACCACATGGTGGCTAACAACCACCTGCAATGAGATCTGCTGCCCTCTTCTGGTGTGCAGACGTACATGCAGACAGAATACTGTATACAAAATAAATAAATAAATAAATCTTTTTTAAAAATAGACTCTGGGGACTGGAGAGATGGAGCAGCTCTCACAAGCATTTGCTGTTCTTGCAGAGGACCTGAGTTAGATTCCCAGGGCCCTTATGGTGCTTTACAACTATATGGAACTCCAATTTCAGGGGAATATGACACCCTCCTCTGACTTCTTTGAGGGCTCATCTATGTGTGGACAGCAAAACCTTCACACATATAAAATAAATCTAACAAGTAAACTCCCCAGAGGTTTGTACGATGTACTGTTAAGGTCTGAGAAGCCTTGTGTTAAACGACACTGGAGTCCCTAGGGTTGGGGCCAGGTGAGAGAGGGGAAATCCTAGAAGACAAGGTTGGGGAGCTAGCTGTCCAGGGCCAGCCGACAGAAGGTCTTGTGGCCTGCTGTAAGGACTTTGGCTACACTGTAAGTTGGGGCCCACTGGAAGGAGTAATGTGACCTAACAGGTGCTGAGAGAGGGAAAGTTAGTCTTTCCCAGGGAGGAGGCTCCTAACTGGTTATTCAGTACCAAGTGGTCAGCCCTAGAAACACAGGCATCCAGGCAACACTGAAGGGATTTAGGGAGCTGTGTTTCCGTGTTTGTTTATTGAACCTTGTGTGCGCTGTATCACCTTTACTCACCCTTGTGCAGATTTTTAAAAAGCTTTAAAAATTTATTTATTTAGTGTATTGTTTGAGTGTAAGCATGCGCATACTGTGTGTGGGGGGGTTTGGGGGTGTGGGTATGTGTGCGTGTGTGTGTGGGGGGGTGGGTGGTGAGGACAACTTGCAGGAGTCGTCCCCCCTCCTCTTGTCTTCCACTGTGTGGCTTCTAGGAACTAGGCTTTGCCTGCCGTGTTGGACAGTGAGCGCCTTCACTGCTGAGCCATCCCACTGGCTCCAGATGTTTTTATAACATTTGAAAATCTTCCACGGCAGATGATGGATAATTAAAACCTAACTCAGTGTGATGTATTTACAAGTGTGTGTTTATGTATTGCTAATCATTTTTCCATTGCTTTCCAAACTACTACCTGACAAAACTTGGAAAATTTGGATGTATATATTTTTTTAAATCCTGAGTAGTTGAGAAAATTGTGTAGATTACACAGCAGTAGACTATGTGAAGACTAGCCTTATTTAGGACAGTGTTCTTCCATTTGCCAGAAAAAAATATATATGTGGAGGTATACCATCAAAATCTATGAACTGAATGCTAATAGTTATTGCTAATATTGTCATGATTCAAATATAGATTATGTACACTTGAACGATTTGTTTATATCCTCTTCTTTGGCAAGTGACTCTTTGAATTATATTTGTTTTGTGCTATGGAATTATGCACAAACAGCTCAAAATTATAGCATTATTTCTATTGGGCCTCAATTCAAATTTGGCATGGGAGGATGATAATTGATATAGTCATAACATCTGCCAGTAGATGGGTGACTGTAACTTGTTGTCTAAAACAGTTTTCCCATCTTGGCCAAGCCAGATAGCATGTTGGTGTAAGTTTGGAATTGTTCTGAACACAGGCTGTACACAGTAGATTTTTGTTTTGTTTTGTTTTATTTTGTTTTTTGACTTGACAAGACAAGGTTTTGCTGTAGCTTTGGGGCCTGTCCTGAAACTAGCTCTTTAGCTCTTGTAGACCCAGCAGGTCTCAAACTCACAGAGATTCGCCTGCCTCTGTTTCCTGAATGCTGGGATGAAAGGCGTGTGCCACCACTACCTCGCCTTGTTTTTGTTTTTTGAGACAGGGTTTCTCTCTGTAGCCCTGGCTGTCCTGGAACTCACTCTGTAGACTGGACTGACTTCAAACTCACAGAGATCCTCCATCTTCTTTCTCATGAGTACTGGGATCAAAACCATGTGCCATCAGCTCCTGGCACACATAGTAGGTTTGCTAAAGGTGTGTTTGTGCTTCAAGATTCGGGTTTAGCTTAAATAGAACCAATAACAGAGCGATGCTGATATTCCCCTCACCAGGTAAATGTTGGGAAGATGGACTCGCCCATTGAGAAGTGGAATCTGATCATTGGCAACCTGGCTTTAAAGCAGGTATGTGGCACATTTATTTATAGATCTTGGGGGTGAAATTCACTGTTTGTTTCATGATGCAAGAAAGCAATAACTTAGTACCCCAAAAAGTGATGGAATCAGTTGATGCCCATGGCCTTTGAAAGTCTTCTGTTTCTAGAAACTGGTCAACTTCTTCCAAGTTGTAAAAAAAGTTTACAAGTACACCATAGCTTAGTAGAAATATTTATATAAATATTTTAAGAATTCATTGTTTAAGTACTGTCTTAGTTACTGTCCTAATTGCTATGAAGAGGCATCATGACCACAACAACTCTTATAAAGTAAGCATTTAACTGGGGCTGCTTACAGTTTTAGAAGGTTAGTCCATGATCATCGTGGCTGGAGGCAGACAGGGATGGCACTTTAGCAGTAGCTGAGAACTTTGCATCCTGATCCAAAGGCAGAGACAGAGACTGGAACAGGCAAGGGCTTCTGAAACCTCAGTGTCCTTTCCCAGCTGACTCCCATCTCTAGCCCCGTCTTTATTATTTTCGAGACAGACTTCTGGTGTTGCTGAGGCTGGCCTTAAACTCAGAATCCTCCCGCTTCAGTTTCTGAGGCATGCCATCATGCCCTGCTCTTTGTGTTCCATTTGTATTAGTTTTAGTTTTTTGTTTTTGTGAGACAATGTCACTCTGTTTCTCAGTCTGATCTCAAACTCCCGGCTCTACAGGACACGGCATCTGCCTTCTCCAGGATTTCTAAGTATATTAGTTGCTTAATTATACTGAGCTTTTTTCTGGATATTGTGGTCACCCAGTTGTTTATGTTGATTTTCCCTAGTTAATGTTGCCATTGTTAATATTAGTAAATCCATTCCCTTACCAGTAACATATGGAATGAACCAGGAATTATAGAGCTATAGCTCTTGGTACTCTAAGGTGTGTCTTCTATAAGAGAAGTCCTAACTCTTCAGTAATGACTCCAGCCCCCACGAGTAACTCTTTAGCTCCTGTGAGCAGCCGGAGGATATACTAGTTTTAATGTTAGCTCAGCTAGGCTGTAAGAGTGAACACATGGTTGTGGAATGTAATTTCCTGCATTGTCTTTCAAGGATAAAAGAGTTCCTGAGATAGAGGCCTTTTCATGTCTGTGCAGTTGCCTCTAAGTTTGTAGGACTGGAACAAGAAAATCTGAGCCCTGACCTTGCCGCTAACATAAACCAGCTGTAGAGCCCTCGCTGATTTACACAACTGTTGTTGGCTTCAGTCTGTTTCTTCAGTGCTAGTATTTTGTTAGAAATGTCTAAGAACCTTTCAGCGTGACCATGTAGGAACCCAGGCAGGGTGGTAAAGACACTGGAAAATGGCTAGGGAGGGATGTCAGTCAATGGCAGACTACCTGCCTAACATGCAAGAAGTTTGTCCTACCCAGTAACAACAAGACAAAACCAAGACCTTCCAAATATTTATAAATCAATAGAGTGCTATAACAAATCAAGAAACTGAGAATCGTTGATTTAAACACTGAACACTCTGAAGCCGTGGCTGCCGTGAGTGGTCTGTTCAAGTCACCGTAACTGTCCCCACCTCAGCCTGCAGCACACTGTCCTCCCGTCATCTCTACCCTCCCTCGCCATCCTCTTTCCTGAAACTGTTGGTTAGTTAGGATGGTTGCCAGAGGTCCCCAGGAATTTGCCAATCCTAGTTGCTAAAATTCAATGCCTCTTTGGCTTCCTCCTCCAAGGATACATGATAAATGGGGGACTTGGGCAGAGCCATCATGATACCACAGGTGATCACCGGTGAGGTGGTGGTTGTTGGGACTGGTTGCCACAGACAGAAGGAAGAGGAGAAGATGGCGGCTGTGGGTTGGGTTTGGGGAATGGCGATTTTCTCCCTGAGCTCCACCAGCATTGCTTGTGACGGAGAAGATGAACATGGAGGTGCTGGTTAAGGGCAGACTAGAGGGCCTGAAGATGGCTCAGCAGTTAAGCGCTCAAGCCATTCTTCCAGAGAACTGGAGTGTGGGTCCCGGCACCCACATAGGGTGGCTCACAGCCATCTCTAACGTCAGCTCCAGGGGTTCTCTCAGCATCTGTGAAATTGAGGTCAGTCTGGTCTACAAAGTGAGTTCCAGGGCCACATTGTGAAACTGTCTCAACAACAACAACACAAACAAAAACAGTGTGGTCCTGAAGGCCACACGTGTTGACGCAGGTCAGGGCAATTTGAAAGCCCACTGTCTGAAGTGGTCTGAAGTGGAATTTACACCCTGGCAATGCTGCAGCAGGCACGGGCAGCCCGTATACGGCGGCTCTGTTGAACTTGTCCACATTGGGTTTCATGGTCTGAGTTGATGAAGCCGACTCACCAGGTCTCTTCCTCAAGAGGGCACCGGATATTAAAACTAAAATCCAGTAGCCTCTTTAAAATGAAGGTGGTTCAGTTGCCATACACGGCACTTCTTCGGACTATTTTGTATGCAGCGATTGACTAATGAAAATTTAATGTTTTAAAAATTACCCACCTGGATTTTACAAAAACCGCCTGTAGGTCCAGGCCACAGTGGTTGGATTCTTAGCAGCCGTGGCAGCGATCGTTCTGGGCTGGATTCCAGAAGGGAAGTATTACCTCAGCCATTCCATACTTCTGTGCTCCAGCAGCGTGGCTACCGCCTTCATTGCATCTCTTCTGCAGGGTGAGTGCAGCTCTAAGTGTCCGCTTGGCAGCTTTTGTCTTTTAATAAAAGGATCGACTTCCCAGGATACTGACTTTTTCTTTTAAATTCTATTTCTTTTACATCCTGTGTGCAGCCTCTCCGCATCATACTCCTCTCCTGTCCCTCTCCCCCATACCCCCACCCCCAGCCCCCAATCCCCTCCTTTTCTATCTCCATCCAGGAAAGGGCAGGTCTCCTATGGATATCAACAATACATGGCATATCAGGTTGCGGTAGGACTAAGTACCTCCCAGGTATGAAGGCTGGGCAAGGCGACCCAGTATGAGAAGTAGGGTCCCAAAAGCCAGTAAAAGCCCCTGTTCCATAAGAGGACCAAGCTACACAACTGTCACATATAAGCAGTGTGCATAGGTCAGTCCCATGCGGTCTTCCCCCTTGTTGGCTCACTACGAAGCCCTCTGAGCCCAGGTTAGCTGATTGTGTGAGCCTTCCCTTGGAGTCCTTGACCCCTCTGGCTCCTATGCTCCTCTCTCCTCCTCCTCTTCTGCAGGATTCCCAGACTCAGCCTGATGTTTGGCTGTGGGTCTCTACGTCCGCCTCCAGGATGTGTGACTGTTAAATATTTGTTCATGATGAAAATGACAGAAAATATCCACATAAGCTTTAAATAATCTTAGTTCAGATGTATTTTTATGTTACTACTTATTTATATTTATTTATTTATTTATTTATTTGGTTTTTCAAGACAGGGTTTCTTTGTGTAGCCCTGGCTCTGTAGACCAGGCTGGTCTCAAACTCACTGAGATCTACTTGCCTCTGCCTCCCAAGTGCTGGGATTAAAGCCGCGTGCCACCACCGCCCTATTTATTTAAATATTTATAAACACTGTAGAAAGCAGGCTTTTTGAGGTTGTTCCCTTTGCCAGACACCCTGGCTCAGTCTTCAGTCAGGCAGTCCAGTGTTCCCGTTTTCCCAAAGACTTAAGAAAGACCTTCCTGGAAACCACACAGGGGACTTTCCGGCCTGTCGCAAGAATTCCAGAAATTCTGTTTCAAAAGCAATCCCTCATCTAAATTCTTGGTGGAGAGTACTTCCTGCACTCCCAGAGGACCTGAGTTCAGTTCCCAGGAACCCCCTGAGGCAGCTCACAATTCCCTGTGACTACAGCCCAGGGTGAAGGGTGAACCCAACACCAGTGCCCGTGGGGGCAGCAGTGCTCACCCCTGTGTGTCCTCTCTCACCAGCGCACAAGTATAACCTAAGAAACACCAACCCAACAAAAACCCCAAAGGTTAAGTTTCTGTGACAATATAAATATAACCTTGTGCTGATGCTTAATGTAGCATATTTTGACTATATGTTAAAAAACAGAAGTTAAAAAACTTAACTGAGCTAAGTGCTAATGGTGCACACCTTTGAATCCAGCACTCGGGAAGCAGAGGCAGGCAGACCTCTGTGAGTTTGAGGCCAGCCTGGTCTACAGAATGAATTCCAGGACAACCAGGGCCATACAGGGAAATTCTGCCTCAATAGTCCCCCCCCAATAAAAAAATAACCTTTGAATTTGCAGGATTAGCTTCTTTATATTTATTGATATGATATGAGCACTATACTAGGCACCTCGTACGTTGTAGAATGTCGTCACTGAAGTTCAGTTGGTCTCTCTGTGTAGCCCTGGAACACTCTTTGTAGACCAGAATGGCTTCAAACTCACAGAGATCCCCGCCTTTGCCTCCCAAATGCTGTTTGTGATCAAAGGCATGAACCATCACGTCCAGATAACTCTCACTGCTGGCTTGTTTGATTTATTGATTTAGTTTGGTTTTTTTAAGACAGGGTTTCTCTGTGTAGCCCTGGATGCCCTAGAACACACTCTGTAGACCAGGCTGGCCTTGAACTCAGGGATCCGCCTGTCTCTGCCTCCTGAGTGCTGCAGTAAAGGTGTGAGCCACCACTGCCTGGCCATAACCCTTCTTTATTCTTCTCAATATTTAGTTATTTTTATTTTATGTGTATGAATGTCCTGCCTTCATGTATGTACGTGCAATACGAGCATGCCTGTGCTCGCGGAGGCTGTAAAAAGGAGTATCCCCAGAAACTTGAGATTCACAGGGCTGTACGTTACCATGTGGAGCAAGAACAGCCCAGTCTGCACTTAATAGTTGAGCAATCCAGCCATCAAAGAGCGTCAGTTTTTAGACCCATTCTTGCCATTTCCCCTTTTCTCTTAATGTTTTTGGTTTTTCTTTTATTTGATATATATGAGTGTATATTCTGCTTGCATGTATGTCTGGGTACCAGAGTGTCAGATGAGTGTTGAATTGAGCCCAGGTCCCCTCTGGGAACAAGTAAGTGCTCTTAACCCCTGCACACGCCATCTTCTTTTATACGTGGTTCCTGCTCTAAACTCTGGGGTTCAACACTTCACTGTAGACACCGTATATGGGTGTGTTTTGTTGGGGTGCATATAAGTAGGATTCTACGCTAGTGTTTTCATTCTTCACGGGTTAAAATAAAAACCTGCGGATATATATATGTATATATATATATATATATATGTTACATTTAAAGCATATGCCTCATTAAATTCAGAATTTTAGTTTTTTTCTGTAATTTTACAGTAAATGCCAAATGAGCCGATGATGTCTTCCGGGATCTCTTGCAGTTTGCTGAAGGTTTTGCCAAAGGGGATTTTGTTTTCTCTGTCAGTTATCTGAGCATTCCAGCCAGAACCGGTGTGCTGCTTCTCTGTCTGTGCGGGGTGTTTCAGTGTTTGGGGGATGGATTTCCTGAGTCAGCCTCCAGAGTAACGGGTGCTCTTTCTTCTAGGAATAATAATGGTCGGGGTTATCGTTGGCTCGAAGAAGACAGGCATAAACCCTGACAACGTGGCCACACCCATCGCTGCTAGTTTTGGTGATCTGATAACTCTCGCCATATTAGCGTGGATCAGTCAGGGTTTGTACTCCTGCCTGGGTGAGTTGACTTGAAGCTAAATGTGGAACTATTCGGTCATTAGAAAGTGATGCTAGGGCTGGAGAGATGGCTCAGTGGTTAAGAGCATTGCCTGCTCTTCCAAAGGTCCTGAGTTCAATTCCCAGCAACCACATGGTGACTCACAACCATCTGTAAGGAGGTCTGGCACCCTCTTCTGGCCTTCAGGCATACAGACAGAATATTGTATACATAATAAATAAATAAATATTTTTTAAAAAAGAAAGTGATGTTAGAATTAGTGATGAAGTTGACTAGAACACTGTAGCTTGTATATTTATTATGTGCTGTGGCTCTCGTGTGCTTTCTTCTCTTACTGAGTTCAGAACTCTTAAGAAAATGTTTATCCTCTGTAAATTCTTTCTTCCCCTTTCTGCCCCACTCCCACCCTTCCTTCTTGAGGCTGCTAATTCCTGTGCTCCCAGGATATCCTCAGATTTGCTATGTGGACAAATTTGCTCACCTTCAACTCCTCATCCTATTTCTGCCTCCTAATTCCACCTCCCAAGTATTTGGCTACAGGTGTGTGCTATACAACACCTAGGTATTCTTTGGAATTTCAGACAGGAAGTTGGAGGGTCATAGAAGTTATATATGCCCCCAGCTTTACACATTGCTACTATCGTAGTTTAATACAATCCTGCCATACTGCATGGGTTCTGTGCTTTCTTCTCATTGGATAGCCAGTTAGGAATCACACTGCACTGTTCAGTGTTTTGAATATGAGAATACAGAGTTATCATGGTCTTTGTGTGTCTGTATTTCCTTCCTTCCTTCCTATTTACCAATGAGTTATTTTTCCCACATCAAAACCCCATGCTAATAAATAGCTTCCAGACATTTAGAGACAAAACAAAAGACACATCTGAAAATTAGCTGACTGCTAGTGAAGTTTGAGTCATCTTGTGCGTGTTCCTGATGAGTCATGACGGGAAATGTGCAGAGTCCAGTGAGCTGTCCTAGCGGGAATAATGTGTTCTGGGCCCACAGCCAGTGGGCGTGAGCCTCACCTGTGGGCATGGGTTAAAGGCAGAACGTTGTGTTTTCATTTACATGTCAAGTGTGTGTGTGTGTGTTGTGTGTGTGTACATGTGTCAGATTTCCAGTTTAACAAAAACACAACTTTACTATAATAAAATTATTTACAAGGCCATCCCAAGGCAAATATTTATTCACAGATTGCTATGGGTTTTATTCAGCTTTATAGTCCGATTCTGAAGTTTGGAGAGGAACTTCAGATGTACTTTTGAACCAAATAGGCTTTAACCCATCAAATGCAGTAGCTCCGTGTGACTCCGGCAGCGGCATGAAAGGCCTCGTGTAGTACGGGACACTGCCTTGACTTTGGTTTGATGGGTGGCACAGACCGTGTGTGCTCAGATACATCTTTCCTCACTTGAAGACAGAGATTCATCGCCTGAACCAGTGCATGAGACAGTAGATGGGCTGGTGCCATAAACTGTCATTGAGCTCTCATTGGCTGTGGCTCTGTCACTCTTGGGGGTGCAGTGACGGTTGCTCGGGAGTGCTCAGTTCCCTCTCCTCTCACAGGAAGTGCAGAAAAGGGGAGTTCTTATTAAAGAAATGACCCTAAGTCTTGTCTAATTTTTGCTGCTGGGATAATACATTGATTCCTCTTTTTCCTTCTCTGAGTTATGCAGTTTAGACCCAGACACTAGAGTCGAGGAGTAAATGTTAGCTTATATCTGGTCTCGGAGAATGTGGTGTTTTCATTCTCTCACCCCGTTAAACTCACCACCCAAGCCACAGACAGACTTGTGAACAACTTGTCCTCCTTACCCCGAGGGCCAGGCTGTTCACTGTACTGGAGAAGGGAGGTAGTCTGGCCAGGTGTGGGAATGTGCACTCATCATCCCAGCGAGGAAGCTGAGGAAGGAGTACTGAGGATCTGGGGCCTGGATGTGAGACCCTGTCTCAAGACCGTCATCAATAGGAGGCCAGTAAGAACCCGAGCAAGGCTCCTGGTGCCCCTTTGACTAACTCTTGAAGTTCAAGTTTCTCCTGCTTTGAGGAGGCGATCAGAGAGAAGGGACACACACACACACACACACACACACACACACACACACGTCTACAAGAGGATGATTTCTTCTCAGCAGTATTAAGAGAACAGAAATGCTACAGATTAACTGGGTGGGTGTGGCGGTGCATGCCTGGAGTCCCAGCACCCACATGGCAGCTGTAACGTGATATGTGACAGCACAAGCGCCTGCGATTCCAGTCACGGGTGATCTGACGGCCTCGACTGGTCTCCCTGTGTCCCAGGGACGCACCTGGTGCACACACACTCGCAGATAAAGCCCCTATGCAGACAGAGCAACAACGGCTATGGTCCTCGTGTACTCTCCTCCAAAGCTTGCAATATTGGGAGTGTTCCGTGGTGCCGGGTTAAGGCTGGGTCTCGGGAGGGCCTCTGTATCTGAGACTGGCCCTCCAGCTCATGCTGCCTCCACTCCCTGAGTATTGGGATTATAGGCATGGACCCGCAATCTGACATTACCTGATTTGTTTTTTTGTTTGTTTGTTTGTTTGTTTTGTTGTTCTGTGGAGCCGAGGGTTGACCCCGAGACCTTGCACTGTGCCGCACTGGTACTGGGGTGAGGAGTAAGAGAAAACGCAGTCCCCTTAGCGTAGAACACAGTATTATTAAGTATTGTTTAGGATATTCCAGGCCTTCATTTGTCGTCTGAAAGTTGACTTTGCAAAGTTGGCTTTGCAATGCTTCAGACCCTTCTCATTTCATCTGTGTAATTGATGCCCCCAAGGGATTTTCTTTTTAAACGGGCTACCAGTTAATTCTGCAGTTAATTTAACAGCTTGCAGGTGTTCTGAAATGTCATTGTGTTTCTCTTGCCAAAGTGTCTGCATCCTGAGCACTAGGGGGCCTCAGAAGATCGGCAGTTAGGCACCTGGCCTTTTCATTCTGAATACAGAGATTAGAAGCAGGCACATTTCAGTTCTAAGATCCCGTTCATCTTGCTGAGAAGCCCGGTCCTTGGAAACACCGTTAATCCCTGTACTACCCTGGAAACACTAAGCAGCGTTTAGAGAAGAAAGGAGGATCTTTTTGGTAGCTGTAAACTTTGGCTAGAGAGGCCACGAACTCCGTGGCTCCAAGAAGCCGACACAGGGGAAAATTCCACGGGGTCAGTCCATGAAGAGGACACAGCAGTGGTAAATATGTACGTATCCAACGTCAGAGCTCCCAAATGTAGGAGAGTTATTAATGGGTTGGACAATGTACACAGTGGGGATTTCAGGACCTCACTTTGACAATGGGTAGCTCATCTGGACGGAAGTGCAGTAAAGAAATGCCGGACTTGAAGTGGACACTTGTTCACACCAGCCTGACAGTCTACAAAATGGTCCCCTCAACAGTCACGTGGTGTGCATTCTTCTCCTGCACATAGGTCATTTCCTAGAATAGACCCCACATTAAGCCATGTAACACATCCTAACAAGTTTAGGAATCGTGTCATGTTTATCGACGCCGTGATGGAGTAAAACTAGAAAGCAGTGGCAGAGGAAAAGTGGAAACTATGTAAATGTATAGAAGTTCAGTGGGACACCTCAAACTAGCGGTGGCTCAAAGAACTCAAATGGAAACATCTTAAGCCAGGTGAGAATGGAGGAACCATGTTCCAAAACCTACGGGATACTGCACAGGTAGTTCTAAGAAACCTCAGGGATGCCACACACGCAACTCTAAGGAGGACGCTCCCAGCTTATAGCTGTAACCACCTGTGTTATAGAAGATGTAAGCATCCTAAGGCTACACGGCAGGAAACTGGGGAAAGAACACACTAAACCCAAGCTCTGCAGGAGAGAAGTAAGGACGAGCATGGTTAAACCAAGCAGGAAAGCTATGGGACAAACCAGCAAGACGAAGGGTTGGTTTTTCTTAAATGAAAAAGACTGACAGCCGTCTTAGTTTTGACTAAGAAGAGAAAAGACTCTAAGTAAGACCAGAAAGGAAAGCACAGACATTGTAGTCGGTACCCCAGAATGGAAAGGATCCCGGGGGCTGTTAGGAAGAATTAGATGCTGAAAGCCTAGCCTCTGGGGAGTGGATACACTTTTATAAGCATCCACCCATGAAGCTGAGTCAGGAAGAAATAGAAGTCTTGGTGAGACAGGTAGACTGGAGTAGTAACTAAAAAGAAAACAGGTTTGCATGAGTGTGAAGCCAGCCTGGGCTAAAGTAGACCTTATTTCAACAACCCAAATACACACACAAATAAATGCTGAAAAAAATTAACCCCAGAAAGCAAATCCTTCCAGGAAGCATCCGGCAGAACACATCCAACCCTGTTTCATGAGGTTGGCATCTCAGCCTGATAGCAAAGCTGGAGACCTGGAAGAAATTATCGGCCAGGAACTCTGCTGGACAGAGCTGATGCCACCTCGGAAAACCAAGAGCAAACAGTGAAAAGTACATGAGAGAAACACGGCCTCTGTGGTGACGCAGGGCGAGAGCGCCCACTCTCAGTTCTGCTCAGCATCACACTAGAGGAACTAACGAGCAATAGAAACAAAAGGGGATCAAGGGAGTCCAAGGAAGGGTAGTTATCCCTGTCTGTAGATGACATGGTCCTATGTATGCTTCAGAAAAATGGGGATTCCACCAAAAGGGTTTTAAAACTACTAGAAAGGTTTCAGGATGTGGATCAACAGTGCAGAGCTCAGTTGTGCTTCTTTATATCAGTAAAGATTTGTGTGAGCTAGAGATATGCCTGTAATCCAAACACGGGGAAAGCTGAGGCAAGAGGACCTTGGGTTCAAATCCAGCCTGGGCTACATGCAAGCTCTAGGCCAACCGTGTTTCATTATGAGACCCTGTCAGTCAATCTGCCTGCTTATCCGTCCGTCCTTCCATCCATCCTTCATACATACATGCATGCATGTGCTTATCTAGCTGTGCTTATCCGAATTGCTATAGCACTTTATTGAGGTGGCCTTCATGACTTTGTGTTTGGTCAGTGATTACAGCTCTTTGTCTAAATACAATACTCCTCTCCCCCAGTTTTTAAAGCCTATTTAGTTCACTGCAGGACATCAGTGGATTAGGCAATAATTAGAGTACCTGTGACTGTACCTTTCTGTTTGAAATACAGAATTCTTGACAATACCGTGGTTTTTTATTTACTTATTTTTTGTAGTACTCTTGGTGCTATATACATAATAGATATTGAGTAAATACTGTCTTACAAAGTGCATTATTCCTTTTGAAAATGATGTAGCTAATGCGATTAGAATTTATTCAAGTGGCCCTCTAATGACTTTGGCATGGTGACTGCCTGAGAATATGATTGATTGTAGCAAAAGCATCCTCCCCACGAGGACTCAGGATTAGTGAAATAGCACAGGATCTTGGCTCAGTACAGAGTTCTGGGGATTAGTAACACTTCAGAAAAGTAAGAACGGAAAGATGGGGCAAGAAAGATCCGACGGAAAGAGAAGGCCGACTGTGGTTGTGAGCTCTGGTTTATGTGGTTGTGATGCGCTTTTGTGTGGTTTGCCTGTTAGAGAGCTAAGAGAAGTTGTACATGTTATATAGATATTTATTTAAAAACTGTCATCTTTCACATTTGACAGTTTTATTGTTATGTGTTCCGCCTGTATGCATAGAAAAACTTCCAGGGATTGGAAGTTTGGAGGGTCTGGTCTCAGAGGGTCCCAACATGGAGATGGGAGGATCTTCCCTGGTTGGTGATCTGGAACAGAGGCTGTCTTTCCTCAGGTTGCAGCTACATAAAGACTAAACACACTGCATCAGAATTGATCACCTAACTCTAAAAAAAAAACAAAACAAAACAAAAAAACAAAAAACAAAAAACAAAAAAAAACAAAATATGACCTTAAAAATTATACATCTGAGAACCCCCAATGATAAGTCATTGAAACTCGAGGTGAAATTTGACATTGTGTTGAATAGGAGGGCTGAGGACCCCGTGTGTGAGATGCCTGTGTTGAATAGGAGGACTGAGGACCCGTGTGTGACATCCTGTGTTGAATAGGAGGGCTGAGGACCGCATGTGTGAGATGCCTGTGTTGACTAGGAGGGCTGAGGACCCGTGTGTGGTATCCTGTGTTGAATAGGAGGGCTGAGGACCCCGTGTGTGACATCCTGTGTTGAATAGGAGGACTGAGGACTGCGTGTATGACATCCTGTGTTGAATAGGAGGGCTGAGGACCCGGGTGACATCCTGTGTTGAATAGGAGGGCTGAGGATCCGGGTGACATGCCTATGGAGACTGGCTGGAAGAGGGAATCGATCCCCTAGATCTGGAGTTCCAGATGGTTGTGAGCCACCATGTGGGTGCTGGGAATTAAACCTCAGTCCTCTGGAAGAGGAGCCAGTGCTCTTAAACCCTGAGCCATTTCTCCAGCCCTTTCATTTTCCTTTTTAAAGAAGTGAGTGTGTGTGTGTCTGTGTGTGTGTGTGTGTGTCTATGTGTGTGTGTGTGTGTCTATGTGTGTGTGTGTCTGTGTGTGTGTCTTTGTGTGTATGTGTCTATGTGTGTGTGTGTCTATGTGTGTGTGTGTCTATGTGTGTGTGTGTGTGTGTCTATGTGTGTGTGTCTATGTGTGTGTGTGTCTATGTGTGTGTGTCTGTGTGTGTGTGTGTCTATGTGTGTGTGTGTGTCTATGTGTGTGTGTGTCTGTGTGTGTGTGTGTGTCTATGTGTGTGTGTGTCTACGTGTGCCACAGTGCTCATGTGGAGCTTTCCTCCCAGTTGGCTCAGGATCCAGCTTATGTGTCAGGCTTGGCTGCAAGCCCTTTGTTCTGAACATTCCTGCCAGCCTGCTTTCTTTGGTGATGTCCTTTTGTGGCCTAGGCTGGCCTTGAACTTGTGATTATATGTGCACTACTACACCAAGAAAATCACCTTATTTATACATTTAGTTTGCTAGACTCGTAAAAAGTACTTTAGGTACTTGAAAAAAAATGATGAGAAAAGTGCCCTAATGTAAGATGTTGCAGAGATTGTCATGCCATCACACATTCCAAGCTTGGTTGGCTGCTGAGCACCGGGGGGCACAGGGCTGTTCCATGTCCAGGTCTGTTTTCCGTATGCTGCGCTGGACTTCATTATGTCGGCTGCTGACTGTGGCTTAGCTTGCGATCCGTGAGCCTGCTTCAGAGTTATGCTGGGGAAGAGTAGAGCAGACCTCGTTGCAAGGCCAGTGTCGTCCTCCTCAGATGGCCCTTTCTCCGCTCTCTGCTTGTGGCTCTCAGTGTTCAAGGGGCTTCTCCTCTGCTGTTGGGTTCTTCACGGCCCTGTGTCTGCAGGCTTTGTTAGGGTTTTTGCCTTAGTGGCCCATGTTCACGGAGTTCACTCTGCGCACACATGCTCGGCATTCACTTCCCAAGCTCCTCCTCTGCTTGTTTCCTCCCCTGCTCTGTCCTGTGGACTGGTGTCTCCCCAGCCTCCCTCTCTGGGCCTTTAGGAAGAAAGCTGAGGCAACTTGTCTCTGATCTTGCAGCGTCTTTTGTCTGGTGTTGGGAGATAGTTCACACAAAAGCACACGCACACACACACACCTTTCAGTCATTTCTGAAAACTCACGTAAAATTTTGTTTACAAATGGCGTGAATCATGCCTGTGACATGCTGGGCAGCCAAGCCTGCCGTCAGTAAGGAGGCGGAAAATGGAGGCCGGATGAACAGTTGTGACCCAGACGTGTGCCACAGAGAAGCACAGCAAGGCCTGGGCAGCTATCAAGTTGGCAACTGATGTTGGTTGTCCATCCTGGTGTCCTTGCTCTTCTGTGTAGGCTGTGTTGATATCTCATAATGAATGTTTGGGACATTAATGTTGTTCTTTAGGTTATATGAGCTGATAGTTTAAAAGAGTATCTGTGTAGCACAGGCTGGCCCTAACTGTGTGGTTCCCCATCTCCAGCCTCCTGATTGCTGGCTTAGGGGAAATGAGCCGCCATTCTTGGCATTGGGTTTTATTTACTGTTCTAAATCTTGGGTATATATAAAATGTTAGACACTTAATATGTTTAATAATAAACTTGATAAAAATGCTTCTTTTGTTATTCAGATTTTCTGTTGGAAAGAGGAAGGGCTGAAATGTCTTCTTTTCTTTATTCTAGAGACATATTATTACATTTCTCCATTAGTTTGTGCCTTTTTCTTGGCTCTGACACCTATCTGGGTTATAATAGCTGCCAAACACCCAGCTACCAGGACTGTGCTCCACTCTGGCTGGGAGCCCGTCATAACAGCCATGGTCATAAGCAGGTGAGTGCTGGCGGTGGGGGGCGGGAGCGCGACCATGGGTTAGCAGTGAGGCATCACTCACAGGAATCCCAGCAGGGTTACAGAATGGGGTATCCGTGACCCAGAATATCACTGTTACATTTCTGCTGCTGTGGAAAGATGTTCAGTCTGCACTGGATAACAAAGTCATCTGGGAAAGAGTAGGAACGTTTTGCAAAATGTGGTGAACTAAGAATCGTGTGCGAGCTTTGGATCTGGATAACACAGAGATCAGAATTCAGCACGGGAGACCCTTGCGAGGAGGTGGGGGGTGACAGCAGTGCCTCTGCTCGCGACACCAGCTTTCCCGAGCGTGGGAGGAAGATGTCTCTAAGAATTAGAAACCAGCTTTGTGGAGGTGATTGATGGCGACCTCGCGGGTTGGCTGTATCAGGAAGGGCTCCCCGTGGGCTGGCATTTGTGGAAGCTGTGAGATTTACATCTCATCTACCGCAGAAGTCAGAGCTAAGCCTGAAAATGAGAACTAGTGTCTCTGTGTGCCACTCACCAGCGAAGAAGTTACGGCGGGAACTGAACGGATCCCTAGGGCACAGAGGGTCTGGGCACGGGGCTAAGAACCACCGTCAGAGGGTGCCAGGACTTTCGGTCATCCTACGACAGCGTGTGGATCGTTTTGCTGTAGGGAGATTGCAATCCCTGGAAGATTTAGGCAGCAGGTGACCGTGGGTGACGGGACTGGCTGTGTCTTACGGTACATGAACCACAGACTGAAGGTGAACAATTAATAAAGGCTTAAACAAGCCTCCACGCTCCACCAAGATACTGAACGCGTGTGGTTTGCCACTTATTCTCTTAAAACCCCATCTCATTTCCCAGACTTCTCAAGCTCAGCTCTTTTCATCACTACAGCTCTCTGGTCATACGATTGTAATCCACCTAGTTTTAGAACCGCCCCTCCGATGCCTGCTTGCCTTAAAGATGGAAAGACGCTGTTTACGAACTAGCTCTTAAATTGCAAGAGTAGTAGATGACATGATGAAAAAATATGATGATGATCCAGCACTTAGGGGCTGACGACAGTGGGTTTCTAGGGGTTTGAGGCTAGCCTGGTCTACTAGCAAGCTCCAGGCCAGCCTAGGCCTATATAGTGAGACCCAGTCTCAAACAAAACAAAACAAAAGATACTCTGTGCAGAAGAATATGAAGGGACCATTCATCCCATTGTTTGAAGCGTTGAAGTAGTTGACAACGCCTTATAGGGCGTTCTTGTAGGTTAGTGAAGTTAACAAACTGTAACCTGGGAATTGTGACACATGCCTATTATCCCCGCTCTTGGGAGGCTGAGACAGGGGGATTGCTATAAGTTCAGGGCCATCTGGACTACATAGCAAGACCCTGTTCCCCAGACGGGGTGGGGGCAAGATATGTAAAACAAACAAACAAAAACTAATGCACTCACATTTTACCTGTTGGTTATGGTATTTATTATTGCTTTAGTGTGTAGACTGGGTGTGTACTGTATGTGCCCAGGTGTGCATCTGTGGAGGCCAGAAGTCAACACCGGGTTCAGGGGGTCTTCATCTGTCACACCCTATATTTGCTGTCTATCTTAGTTTTGAGACAGGCACTCACTGTACCTGGTGATTGCTGATTGATTGGTTGGCATGGCTAGTGAGCCCCTGAGATCCTTCTGTGTCTGCCTCCCACTGCAGAGATTTTACATAGGCTTTAAACTCAGGACTTTGTGTTTAAATAGCCAGTTCTCACCCACTGAGCGCCTCTCCTGCCTTCATGGCCATGTTTTATTTCCAGTTTTTTACTGATAACATTGATTTCTACTTTGAATATTCTTCTTTTTGCCTGATTTTTATATTGCATTAACATTGTACTGTACAAGGTGGGAGTGTCTGAATGTCAGAGCAACTGGAGACTCTTTTTCCATTTCTCTTCCCTGATCCATGGTTTTCTTTCTTTCAGCATTGGGGGCCTTATTCTGGACACAACTGTATCTGACCCGAACTTGGTTGGGATTGTCGTTTACACGCCAGTTATCAACGGTAAGCCCGGAAAGTACTGCCTCACGGTGACATCACCCTCAGGAGCCCACATGTCTTCCTACTCCTTCCATTTCTTCCTTCAAACTCAGATGTACCTCAGAGTGGAAACCTCTTCCCTGGTCTCAGTACATACAACCCTGTTTGGAAAAGAGCCGTTTCTCAGTCGTGTTTGTTCCGTGTTGGTTAGACAGGCGCTCCTGACGTGTGAGGCCAGTGCGACAGAATGCAGAATTCCGGTTCTAAGTTGGTATTATATTTGCTTTTGCTGGTTATCTTAGAAGAAGCAGAATTAGCCAGATTTGGCTCTCGGCTAAGTTCAGGCCACTCACTAAGAGCAGCCGCTCCACTGACACCTGGAAACCTGACCTCATCATTTTCTTGCCTTCACAATGGAAATTATAATCCTTATATTAAATATGTATAATACATACATTAAAGAATCATGTTAAAATAGTATGATTTTGTATGAAGCTCACTTAATAAGACAATTTAATTCACCTCTTCTGGTGAGCATGAAGTTGAGCTTTAGTATAGACTAGATCGACATAATTTAAAAAGTAATTCTACTTGGCATAATTAACTTCTTATTTCTGGGCATGGTAGCATACTCTTTTAATCCCTTGGGAGGCAGAGGCAGGTGGATATCTGTGAGTTCAGGGCCAGTTTGGTCTACAAAGTCAGTTCCAGGACAGCCAGGGCTTTTTACAGAGAAACCCTGTCTCTAAACGCCCCACCCCTACACACAAAGAATTGACTTTCTATATTTACATAAAAATTTATATAATGACATGTTCCGCAGAAGTCTAATTTTAGATCTAAAATTTCTACTGAATGTTGTAATTTTCGTCTACCTTTAGAATGTCAAAGACTTTTCCCATACAGATCTCTCTCCCAGCTGTCTGGTGCCACCATTTCCCTCCTGGCATCCGTCCTTAAAACCATGGAACCGTCTGATTCTTTCTACCTGGTTCTCCTCTTTGACTTAACATCACCAAACTGTCCACTGTCCCCTCATTCACTTGCGTGTACAGCGGCCTGTCTGTCCACGCAGGCTGAGGTTGTCGCGCTGAGGCCGTCCATCTGGATAAGGGAATACCTTTCCTGAGTTACTGCCTGCCCAGTGCAGCTGCCACGAATTTGCTAGCATTAAACTTACTGTTTGCAAGGAGAAAAAACAAGCCCACAATTTTCCAAATAACACAAGCTGTGTTTTGGGGTGCACCCAGACCTGGCCAGTTGGCTGCCTCCTTGAGTTGGGATTTGAGAGTCCCTCTTATGGGGGAGATAAAGTGTTTCAGGGGTGGGAGGGTTGGCGGTTGTACATTATTAGATGGATACAATGAGGAGGGAAGGGACAAGGACAAGATGTCCATCCAGTGGATAGGCTTGCAAACAGTGTGCTCCAGACCTGAGAAACGGAGCCTACTCTTGATCACACGTAGACACACAGGATGTCGGGGACTTACCCCTTAGCTAGGACTGAGCACAGTACAAACAGAGACTTCTTTTCAACTGTCTTAGCTGCAGGTATATTTTCTGCTTGGTCTCCCATTAACCTGCGAGGCATTTGCTCCTAGTTTGGTCACATTGTTCTTCCATAAGCATCGTCTGTGTCCTGTCAATCAGAAGGTGAGCTTCTCGGTGGCTTTCTCCTGTGTGTCACATCAAATCCAAATCCCAGTGTCTTTCAAGACTCTTAGATTACTGGACTCAGTGATCCGATCAGAGGTGCCAAGCTCTTACCATGCTTACTCTGATCCTCCCCACCAGAATAGCGACACTTTTCCTCGCACCTGCTCCTGCTCTCTTGAGTCCTTAGCTGGAAGTGTGGTCAGATTGACCCGGATTGGATAGGTAACATCACAGGGAAAGTAAATGACAAGGCTTCTGTGTGAGATGTTAGGAAGTGTGATTTGAGAAGTGAGTTCTGTGGTCAGTTAAATTCGGTCAACATTAAGTTAACAGAATTCTTGATGGCAGGATATTGTAGGCCGTCCTTGTGTTACCATCTTCTGCTGGAAGCATTGGAATGTCTGGATCTGACCTTCTTCCCAAGATCATGCATGATGAACCACAGAACTGGGGATTACATATTGTTTACTTACTTATTAATGGAGTTGAGGGATGAGCCTAGGACCTGGCATGGCTGTGGCACTCTGTCTCTGAGTTTACCCATATCTATTTCCTTTTTAAATATTGGATTAATTCTTTGAGAACATCACACAATTTTGATCATATCCTGTCCCTACTCCTGCCCCTGACTACTCCCAGGTCCCCTCTACGTCCCCCCACCCCCGCAACCTTCATGTTCTTTTTTTTTTTTTTAACAACTTATCACTTCTAGTTTGTGTTAGAGTGTAGGGCATCCACGGGAACACAGTCAGTTTACCAGGTTTAGTATTGTGGGCTAGCATCCATGAGTCTGCAGCAACCCGTCCAGGACCTTCCAGCTGGAAGTCGGTGTGATTCTTGTGGGTCTGCCTTGTGTTACTCGGCTTTTTCCCCTTGCAGCTTCGAATATTCTTTGTTCTTTATGTTTAGTGTTTTGATGATTATGTGGTAAAGGGACTTCCTTTTCTTTCCCATTTTCCTTTTGGAGCTCTGTCACCTTCTTGTACTTTGATAGTTAGGGAAATTTCCTTCTATGATTTTTGTTGAAAATATTTTCTGTGCCTGGATTTCTTATTCTGTTCCTTCATATTTATTCTTAAATTTGGTCTTTTCATGGTGTCCCAGATTTTCTGGATCTTTTATCTCTGGATTTTTTTAAAATTTAACATTTTCCTTAACTGAGATACCCATCTTTATCTTGTCTTCAGTGCCTGAGATTCTCTTCTGGCTCTTGCGTTCAGTTGGTGAGGCTTTAAGGCCTCTGAGGATCCTATTTGACTTCCTAAATTTTCCAGTTCCAGTTTCCCCTCAGTTTTGGCTTTCCTAAGAGATTCTATTTCTACTCCCACATCTTAAAACTATTTCCATCTCTATTTTGTTTGCATTTTCACAGACTTCACTAATGTATTTATTCACATCTCCTTTAAGGTCCTTGAACTTAAATGGCTATTTTTAAGTGCTTGGTTTTTGCTCCAGCTGTATGATTGTAATTCTTGGTGTTGATACCTGGTCTTGTCTTTTTGGTGTGGTTTTCTGTTCCTCAGTTTCTGTTGCCTTTTTGTGATCTTAGGACCATGTGGAGGCTGTGAATGGCCTGGTAGGGATGCTTCTGAGTCCCTGCCAGGTGTGGCTACTGGGGGACCCAGTTAGAACTCGTTGCTAGGTATTGGGGAGCTCAAAGGAAGGTATGGTGATGGGCTAGAAGGGCAGAGGAGGGAAGAAAGCTGGGTCTGTCCTGAGGATCTGCAGAGGGAATGGAGGAAGAGAGGGAAGACGGGCCCTGCAGGAGTTCTGCTATAGGACTGGGTGCAGGTGATCATCCCCGACCGGTGGACGGGTGAGGAGCTGGTCAGGGAAGGACGTGAGCCAGGCCATGGTGGTCTGGAGAACCGTGCAGCCTGACTGACTGGCAGCCAGGGAGCTTCTCTATTTGTACAGAATTCAGTAAGCAGGGATACGTTCATGTTGTTCTAAAACAGAGAACATGTCATTTTTGTCTTTGGACATGTGTTTCATTTCCTCTTGGTCATCAAGTAATAAACTGTGACAGAACAGAGTCATCATTTCCAATTGTTTCCCTTCAAGTTTTGACATCATTGATAAACAGAGTTATCATTTTTACCCATTAACCCCATAACCCGATTTTTAAGAATCTAGAGGCATATACAAGTCGTTCTCAGGCCGGTTGATTCTGTAGCTACAAGGACATTTGACCAAACCATCTTCAAGCCATCCTGGGCACGCTGCCATGTCCTAAGCAGTTTATTATTAACTCTTAATAGTCAGAGTGCCCAAGAAATATCCTCAGGCCAAAGCTGCTGCAGTTATAATCAAATTCTGGCATAATACAATGTTTATATTTTATACCTTTATAGAACACTTTTATTGTCTTTCTACATCATTCTTTGCCCATCAGTATAAGTCTCTGTGTCGGACAGAAGTAACTTCAGCTAATCTAACTTCCTTGCTGTGTAAGCCCTGTGATTGCCTGGGTGTACAGTGGGGAGGGGCGTGCCCTCTGATCTGTGGCCAGTTCCTCCAGTCCACCGAGTCTGGTTGACCTTTTCAAGTTCCCTTTGTTTTGGTTATCTCGTTCCTGAGTAAGTACAGGGACAGATGTTTCAAAAATGTCTCACGGCCCTGTAAAGAGAACTCTGGCGTAAGGAAGACCTTCAAGTAGATAAGGATAATTTCCCTAAAGTAGGGAGGGGGAGGAATAGTTTGCTCAGGACTGCCCTGGGAGAAGACATAAATGATTCAGAAGAAAATTTCTGCCAGTTCAACATTCCTAACTGGTACCAATATTGAAAGTCTCTCAAGAATGCCAGAGGTGGAGATGGAGACCACGGGTGGCACGGCGGCCATGTGGCTCAGCTTTGCTAGATCGTTGCCAAACAGCTGTGCTGGCTCTATGACATCCGCCATCCCCATCACATACGGCTGTGCCTACTGGACATGAGACAGAGAATTGGAACTGAAGGACGGGAAGGGGAGTGAAGATCGCCCCCGATTCCCAGAATGGCATGGCCAGCTGCCTTCCAGGCCGAGGGGGCTTCAGTGGGGCCAGGAGGGTTGTAGAAGAAGGGTGCACTTTGCCTTTTTATCCCGACATTTGGTCAGTAGTTTTCCTGAGGAGATCTCCATAAATTACTTCTCTGGCTGGTCCTTCACTCATTCCATTTATCCTGCCATCATGTAAACCTTTTTTAAAAAAGATTTATTTGTTATGTATACAGTGTTCTGCCTGCATGATTGCCTGCACACCAGAAGAGGCCACCAGATCGGATGGTGTGAGCCACCATGTGGTTGCTGGGAATTGAACTCAGGACCTCAGGAAGAGCAGCCAGTGCTATTAAGGGCTGAGCCATCTCTCCAGCCCTATCCTGTGA